TATCATCTTAGGATTTTTTCAGGTCCGGTCCCTTTTAATGGAATTTACCAGTTGATTGGCGAGCTGAACCGGGGTTCCAAAAATTAATTCAAGTGAAATCTCTTAGCTGTGTAAAAGCGCGAGTCGCGAAAAATTCTTTTATTGAATTTTTAGATTATTTAACTTAATAAACTATTTTGTTTTGTCTTACGCTTAACGTAAACACTATGCAAACTTTCAGAAACGCTTTATACAAACGCCTTTCAAACGTTGTAGCGTTGCAATTTCCGCCCTATGAATTCTCTACTGACCGTTTCAAAACTTTCAACGAATTTCCGCAAAACGCTCATACAAACGTCAAATAAACGCTTATAAAACTTCTCATTTTCGTCAGGGTGGTGATTATCCAGTAGACGTTAATATTTTATTACAATATTTATAATTATTACAATACTAATAATTATAAATTATATTAAATACATAACTAAATGTAATCATGTATGCATATTAAATGTTTATAAAATATATTTATAATGATATCTTAAAACGTCCTATAAATGTCCTAAGCCGTTCTGGACATATTCAAGATAATCCTGAGAATGTTTTGTGATGTCTGAGTACTAAATTATCTACTTTTCTATAACATTCTGTATTTAATCTCTCATATTAGTTTTTACAACAATTACTGATACTTTCACAAAAATATTACTTTTTCTTTAAAAAAATTTTTTCGATAGAGAGAGGAGAGAAAATGAGAGGAGAAGAGAGAGGAGAGAGAGAAAGAGAGAGAAAAGTATATTTTATGGAAAAACGAAATAAGAAATATATTTTATAAAACTAAAAGTTTACAAAAATTGGAAATTATATTGTAATATAACTATAATTAATTGAAATCAGTTGGTTATAAAAGAATTTAACATTGTTTTTTTATTTATTGCAGTTGAATACAGTGCAGATTGAATTAAAGTCTCTGAAATGCGAATTCACGCTTCCTGGTCACCGACAAGAGGAATTCCAAAAGTCTGAACATTATGACAAGACCAATTTTCTTGATGAGATGAATAGACCGCATGACATCTCATCAACTCAAAGACATAGTTATTCTCATGCTCTGATTCATCGCTCTCGTCTTGAGCAGCGTCTGCGGAATATCGAGCGAAAAATATCTATAGTAGCGCGGAAACGAGCGATAATTGAGAAGCGAGTAGTATATGAAGATCGCGAACATATTGAGGAACGAGTCAAGAATCTCGAGTTGATACAAGCGGAACTCTCGCAGAAAGTATCCAACACTAGTCGAGATCTAGTATCGATGAATGAAATGGATAAGTCGGTGATGCGACTGTACGATTCAGTGCGGTTGCTCGAGGAAGCTGTTTACACTAATCGCTCAGAAGTAAAGCAAGAACTGGCGAAATTAGATATAAATGCGGCACGAAAAGCAGCTGAGCTATCACTGACCAGAGAGGAGCTCGGCAACCTTCGCCGCACAGTTCAAGCACTGAGTGTAAGCGCGTCGCAACTACAGGAGAAAAATGACGCACAGCGGAAAAGCCTAGATGCCATGAACGAGACGCTCAGCCGTCTAGATCTTAACAGGAACTTGGCTCGGGCGACGAACGTCACGCACGAGCTAGAACAGGTGGAAGATCAATATCGTCTCATGGTAGATTCACTTCCAGGCAATTGCAAGGAACGCGACGGTCTGACTCTGTTGACGCCAGGTCCCGGAGCGCCCTTATTGACTTTCTGCCATGCCGGCTGGATCATTGTAGCACGCAGAATCGACGGTACAGTAGACTTTGACCGCACCTGGAACGAGTATTCAATCGGATTTGGCTCACCCGTTAGCGAATTTTGGATCGGCAATGAAGCACTACATCGGCTTACTCGTGATAACTGCAGCAAGTTGCGAGTCGACTTGACCGACACTTACGGTATGCATTGGCTCGCTGAATACGAGCACTTTACGGTCGACTCGGAAGAATCTGGATATCGGTTACATGTGTCTGGCTACTCAGGCAATGCAACCGACGCGCTGACCTATCAAGATAATATGGCGTTCAGCGCCAAGGACCGCGATATGGATATCAGCACGACCGACTGTGCGGCCAACTATCGTGGCGGATGGTGGTTCAGTCATTGTCAGCACGCAAATCTCAATGGCAGATACTCGTTGGGTCTCACATGGTTCCAGTCAACCACCAATGAGTGGATGGTTGTTGCGTCTTCCGAGATGTCGGTGCAACAAAAGCAGAACTGTTCATAGTTTCCAAAAAAAAAAAAAAAAAAAAAAAAAAAAAAAAAAAAAAAAAAAAAAAAAAGAAAAACAGGACTATGCCCAATTTGAGTCTCGGCCTCGAGTGGACGGTAATGAAGAGAGAATATTCACAAAGTATGAAATAAGTTTTAATTGCCAAATTGAAGTCTGGCGAACGTGAGGTTCTTATTTCTCTTCAGATTCTTCTTCCTCACTGGAGCTATTTAATATTATAAAAACATTATTGGCTTTTGCTGGCACATGAATATTTTTGTCAAAGTATTGGGCATATTCCCCAAATACTATATGATTGTTATTACAGCACCCAACCGACATCCATTTTTGCAAAAGCAGTAATAATCTATAATGGCTTCTTCACCATTACGTTTTACCGAAACATATACATAGTAGCAAGTACGATTCGATTAAATATATTTCAATGTCTTTGATACAATTCGTTACCGCCGTCATCGCGAGGAAGTGTCTTGGATAAATAAAGAAAACTCGGACAAAACCAGTGGTCATACATAGTCATAATAGCAAATTTTGGATAGCTCTAGCATATTCAGGGAAACTCATTTTAAGGTTGTGCCTATGGAACTTTTTAAATACTTTCTTGATATCTTACAAATGTAGCCAGGTTTCAATGCTGTTCACTAATGATCCAATTTACATAAAAAAAACTAGACATAGATTTTTGTTTAGTACACGATTTAACGAAACAATGATATTATTTTCAAGAAAAGTTCTCTAAAAAAGTTCTTTTCTGTACGATTTGAATCGTACTCCACATGTTTATAGTCAACGAAAATGTTGATTAGAATACCAAAGAATGATAAGTATAATTAAAAAATTTTAATGTAAATAATTCTGTGTGTATTTACGAATAACCGAGTGAATGTGCGATATATGTATATTACTTTTTACATTTGTACACTAATAAAAAGTTACAACGCATTATCAATTATTTAGAACAAGTGTTTTATTTTATTCCTGCTATAACATATACAGGGTGTCCCAGAATTGGTTTAACATCTCTCGTAGGCAGATAGAAGGAATAAAACTGAGTCGAAAAGTCCTATACCATTTTGCTAGAT